TTGGGCATACTGCTGGCTGAAAGTGTCTCCTTATTGATCTGATTCGCTGTTGTTTTGGTGTAGGGGTGTCTGTTCCTTGTTCCTCATTTATATCTCCTGTATTTGTTCCCATTGTTTGTGTTTGTGAATTTGTGGTGTTTCTGAGTGGAGGTTGTGGTCGTTGAATTGACTGTCGAGTTTGAGCACCGAGAACCCTGTTTTGTGGCGGTGGGAGAGTGACAAGTGGAGTCGCTCTCCGTGGTGCTGGCGGAGATGTTTCCTGTCTCACATACGTCTGTCTGGGTTCCCTCAGGGGAGGGTTTGTGTTTATTGTGTAATCTGTTATGAGTGCTTGTGTACGTAAAGGCCGCTGGGGTGAATTCCCCATCTGTGGAGATGTGTTTTCATTTCTACAGCCTGAGATGACCGCTTCTGCGTGGTCAATCTCCGCCTGTGTGATACGCGGCAGATTCCGTCGTGCCCACGTGGTGGCGATGTTAAATGCTGGTTTCCAGTCCATCTGCAATTCATTACTAAGTTGTTGGAGTAATTGTTCCAACGTCTCAGTATAGTGCTGTTCCAGAATCAGCAGGGTAGTGTAACCCCAATTTTTTGCATTTCCTTCGATCAGTTCTAGGGTTTGTGGTGTGGGCAGTGCGGGCTTTATTAGGGTTGCAAGTTGTGAAGTCATTTGGGCTATCATTCTTGGTTCGTCCTTTCCTGTTTTTGGGGAGACTTTTTGAAGATGATGTATTACTTTTATTACACCGTGTAGGGTCTTTGTCAGTCTGCGTGAGACTGGATCAAGCGGTTCATAGTGGTGGTTGTCATTGCGGTAATTTGCATATTGGGAAGGCGGTGCCTCTCTGTTTGAGACCTGTTCTCTTCCTTCAGTGTACCGTTCGTTATACCGGTAGGATGTGCTGGTATATGGTCTGGCTTGTGTTGTTCTGGTTCGAGTGACATCTGCATAGGAGCGAAGCAGAGGTCTGCTATGGTAGGGCCCAGTAAGATGTGGAGGCACGGGCGTAGTCAGACTAGCGTGCGGGTGTCTCTCTGAAGAGAGGGGTTAGGGTTAGGGTTAGGGGTTAGGGGTAAGGGGTTAGGGTTAGGGGTAAGGGGTTAGGGTAATACAAAGTCACTGTCCCCCGAAGGGTACAGTAAAATGCACGGGCCCTCTCCCTGACTCTGGACTAAGCGGATGTTCCTGGGCACTGGCAACCACCATGATGGCCGCCATCTTGTGTCCAGGGGGTTCAAAAAAATTGCTCTATAGTAGAGTGTATGTGTAGAAAAATTGTAGGCGCTACGTTTCAACAGCTTCTTGTGTCTTCTTCAGGCGAGTTCTACACTGACTGGAGGCACTCTGTTCGGTGTCCTCTTTTATATGGTGTACAGGCTCCGCCCCCCCACTCTTGTTGAGTGTAAAAAATTGTAATAAATGAACTAATTTAGTTTCTAATTTATGTCTTCCTGTGACTGGTTAAGTTTAGGGCTGTTCCCCTCTATGGTTAAGGTTAGGGCCAGGAGCTAGGCTAGACTTTAGCTCTACTCTACTATGGCCACAATCTTGACAGTAGTGTTAGGGTTAGGGTTAGGGTTAGGGTTAGGGTTAGGTATAGCGAAGAAACTCAAGATGGCCCTCTGGGAATGGCCCTCATTTGCATATGAGCATTTCACGTTTCAGCCAGTAGAGGGAGGCAGGTGGAGAGACAGAACAGGCTATATTTAAAGTCATTTTTAAGTCATGAACTATTATATTTTATTTACATTAACCTCAGAAAGGAGAGATGCATTGTACCAGGTTATAGCACTTGTGCTAATTTCCACCTGCAGTCCCTGGCCTATTGCACATGTTTTTTTTGGTGGTAGGGGAAACCGGAGTACCCAGAGGAAACCTACGCAGACACGGGGAGAACATGCAAACTCCACACAGAAAGGCCCCGTCCAGGTGGGAATCGAACCTGGGACCTTCTAGCTGTGAAGATTTCATGTCATATTCCAATTTCCTGACATTTGTGGGTTTTCACAAGCTGTAAGCCCTACTTTACAGAATTACATTGTTTTACATGTTCTGCCTGTGGTGTGCCTCGTGGTGTTTTCAATGAAAAAAAAAAAGTGCCTTGGCTCCAAAAAGGTTGAAAAACAATGACGTAAGTAGGGCAATATGAGTTGAGTGGATGTGTTCAGTTCAAATCATATATCGTGTAACTTTACTCATGAAAGCTCAGTAACAATATTTGGCAGCATTTCCCAGCCCCATCCGCCAGGGGGCGTTCCAATTTAAAAAAAAGTGGACATATGGAATAATAAACAACACATTTGTCAACTTTAATAGATAGATAATCTTTATTACAGACTCAAGGTCCAGACCAAAACACAAACAGATAAAAACAAACAAACCTATAATAGAACACAAGCGTATTCATAAAAGGCTTCTAAAAGTCATTCAGTACCGACATAGCCAGATGTGAGCGCAGTCCCCCACCCGAGCCACTAGAGGCTCTGTGAGCATCGGCTAAGAGTGGGTGCAGTTGACCAATGTGAAGGACCTCAGTCAACATTTTAACTTTAAAGGTATGTATATCGTTCATTACGTTCAATGTGTCATTTTCTCAACGTGTTTGTGTGTGTGTGCGTGTGAACTTTCGTCCCTCTTCTGAGTTCAGCGCAGTGAATGAGAGAAAAAAAAAGTTAAATTCATCATTGCAGTGATGAGAAGTTTTTTGTTTTTTTTTTTTATTATTATTATTATTTTTTAATTGAATAGACCTTTTACCCAGTGTAATAATTTCCCCAAAATAAATGCAGGGTAAGTGCATTGGAAACCGTGTGGTTTTAGGGTATTGCTGTGTGTAACACTGGTGTCAAAAGCCACCTGTTTGACTTGGCATATGCTCTTGGGCCATTGTTACTCTTTGGCTGCGGAGCGAGTGGTCATGTGACCGCAGCCACCCAATCAGTGTTGCTATATGCGTGAACCTGGAAGCGGCGCATACGCGAGGGGAAGCTGTGTTTGTTTGCTGCAGAGGTGTGTTTCATGCATTTTTCTCGTGACTATTACCTGTATGACTTTGGAAATTAAATGCCACTTGCTTGTTTCACTGTAGAGCCGATCACCAGCGCCGGATCGTTGTCCGATTGAGCCTTGCGTGTTTTAGAAAGTGGAGTCGGTAAGTCAATGCATTTAGTGATTGCCGCTCCTCATTCAATTGCCTCCGTGTATCCATGACGTAAATTAATGAATCATGATGATCAATGCTTATGTTTAATAACCGAATGTTTGTTTGAATTATTATATATGCACATGGCGTTTTTTAGTCAGCATTATAATAATATGGTCTGCTTAAATACATAGCATAAATAGCATAGCAGTTTCACTAAAGTTACTCACTTTGGGACTAGCTATGTACTTTTAAGTGTTGGTATTGTGCTTCTGTGTTTTATAAACATGTTGAATTGTATATGCTGCTAATATTTTCTACTCTAGCACTATACTCTAGTATTTTGATACATTGATATGACTAGTCTTTATGAATTATATTGTGCAATATTGATACTTTATTTAGAGAGATATCTCAGGTCTTTATAATACAGTAAGTGTTATTTATTTAGAATGAACAAGATTGTGTACACATGAATTGATTTAGATGGTACTGCTGTTTTTACACAGGCCACATTTGAATGATGGCGAGCTAAGGAACAGGCTTTTAGCCTAGAGAAACGACTCACCGGGAGATTCCTTCGAGGACCCCACCTACTGCTCTGTCCGGGCTGGTAGGAGGCTCTCGCAGCCACCCCTCACACTCGATTGCACTACTCGCACTTTATTCTACGGCCTTCAACCAATCGTATTCATTCCCTTCCATCCACATCCTTCCTCTGGATTATCTTCAAAACTTTTGGGCCGTATAAACTTTGCCACTACATCTGTGCGAACGAACTGAGCCGTGCTCTCACAATCAAAGGGCCGTGTCCCTATATGAACTGAACTATTTATTCATTCAATCTGTGCGGTTGAATTGTCTTGAACTACTGTTAAATATTGACTTCTATCGTTACACTGTATATAACACCTGGGATTTATTATTGTATATTTGCACTGAATGGCCATTCATTTTAACACTTGTTTACATGTTTTGTCTGTCTTGTCTATACACATTAATGTAAATACAAACCAGCTATCTAAACGCAAATATCCAGTCTCTGCCTCTCTCTCTGCGAGTCGCACCCAGTCTTCTGAGATCTAGCCTAACAACTACCTTAAATGTATGTATAGTACAGTACAATACCTGCTACATGTGACTTAATTAAGATCTTCCCGAAAGGCCCTGATTAGGGTTGACCCTAAAACCGTAGCCACCAACCATTACTATTCAAGAGTCTTTTATTTCTATCATATAAGAGATAGAATGTGTTACTGTTAAAGTTTCTACGTAGCCTTGTTATACTATGTCAATGTTCATTTTGTTTTTATCTGATTTTTTCACCTGTTGTAGCACTTTGAGGTTTCTTTGAAATGTAAAGGGCTATATAAATAAAATGTATTATTAATTTATTATTACATTTTGCAAGGTGTAAATATCGAGACTGATATGAGGCCGACATGTAAAGAATGACTTTCATAATGAAATGCTTTGATTTGACAAATACACTTTCTAAACACTCTAAATATACTGTAATAGTGCTATAGAACAAAAGCTATAACGCAGGAACAATTATGTCACGCGTATTAGGCTCTAAGTAGAAGGTACGATTACAAGTAAAAAATAAAATAAAAAAATACATCTAATTTGAGGTATTTTAACTTAAAATCAGTGTCAAGATGTGTACTCTTTTCTTCCCTACACTTGTCAATGGGTTTCAAGTAAACGTATTTTATTTCAAAAGGGACCTCCTCCTACCAACTGGTAAAGTCCCAGTTTACACCTAGTTTTGTCCCAGTTGAGTCCGGGTGTAAACCTGGGCGTGTAATACCTGGAGTATGTGTCAATAACCACCTGTGTTTTTACGTTACAGACATGGAGTGCACACCAGACGAGCGTGTCGGCTTGAGCCCCGAGGATGAGCTCAAGCTTTTTGAGGAGATAGTAGTGGACAAAATTAAGGCAGAGACAGATGCAATGAAAAAAGGCATGTCAGAGCTCCAAAGTGTGTTGCACAATGGCCTTGACGGGTGGAGGAGAGAACAGCAATGCTTCATGGCAGGCTTCTACCACGAGTGTTCCCAAAAATTATCCGCAGAGTTGGACAGCGCCATGGACCGAAATTCCCGCCGTCTGGATGCCATTGAGAAACGACTGCAAAATCTGGAGGAAAACATCACTGGGCGCCTGTCCAAACTTGAACAAAAGAACGTTTCCTTTACAGAGTCGACCCACTCCTCTCCGTCACGCGGTCTGGAGCACCAGGGAGACCTGTATGACGTCATCGCAGCGGCCACAGGTGTCTTTGACGCACCCCCCCCAGCTCAAGGCGGAGATGTAGAGCCTGTGGAAACGCCACAGGAAATGGATGCACCGTTGCCACCACCAGAACCAGAACCCGAGGTCTTGGCGGCTATACGTCCGTTTCTTCCACGTCAGATTAGCCGCCACGAAAGACTGAGTGGTCAGCAAATGGCATACTTCCTCTACCAGTGTGAGCGGATGAGAATAACCAGTTGAGTGACCCATTGACATCAAGCCTTTAATGACATGTAAATCACACAATCTCACCGGTAATGTTTGTTTTATTTTGCAGACGCAAAAGATGTCACTGCTAAAAGTGTGCAAATCAATAAACGGGCCATAGAAGACAAGATTTGGCCCAAAGGATGGAGCCCGTCAACACACAAAACAATGGTGGAATACCTGGCCGAAAAAATAAAAACTATGCTAAAAAAGAGGAGGTCGGTGCAGCTGAGGGCGGAGATGGGCCTGGAGGAGTGGGGGGAGGAGGCGGGGGGGAAGAGGGAAATCAGACAGGGGCCCAGTGAATGAGTGGACTTTTGATATGTTTGGATTGGTAAATTTTTTGGAGAGTTTAATCATTGACATTTATTGATTGTTGTTAAAGTCTGTTTTTTTGTTTGTTGTTTTTTTCTGCGCGCGTGTGTTTGTTCAATAAAGTAGTTTCAGTTCTCACTTCTTTAGTGAAAGTTCTTGCTGCCTGCTTTTGCCCAGTTTCGTGCCACTGTATTGCAACCGACTGCAAAGCCCAGTCGGAGTACTTATCTTTAAAGGCTCCTATTCAGTTCAGCAGCACCACAGACGGCCCCAGCACGCGTGTCACAGATTTACAGCTGAATGTGTTGCGGAAACAGCTGTGGCAATACCTTTATTTATTGTTACTACTATTATGGTCATTATTGGCGTCATTATTCATCTATTACGGTTCCCGTCAACAGGTTAAAAATGGCAAAAATGCAGAATCAGAAAAAGGAAAGTCAAAAAAAGTGAAAGCACATGTATGACAAAGTCAGTGAAGGTTAGGTGGTTTGACCATCACTTCATGTGACGGTCAAAGGCTGCCGACAGCATTAAGTGTGGTTAAACAGTGACATCTAGTGGACAGTGAGCTGTATACCAGTCTCAGGATAACAGCTAAAATCGTTTTTTTCCCCCTCTGTGTTGGCCAAGATTTTCTTCTCGTGGGAGTGGCTAATTTAGCGTTAGCTGGTGTGATTGGGTTAGGGGCACATTTCTGTCTAATCGAGTCGGCCACAGTCATGCAACTACACTCATGGCCTGAAAGCCCAGTAACAATATTTGACAGAATTTCCCAACCCCATCCGCAAGGGGGCGTTCCTATTGTGCCTTGGGGTGAAGGGCCGAGCCATGAGAGCTGTAAATAATTTTGAAATGAGGGCAAATTCGTTTGGGTGCACAAATATTTAAGAGGGTGCACCAGCCCTTAACATTATTTTGGTTAGACCCATATAAGGTGGAGGCACACCAAGAGAGACGACCAGGAAACAGCCAGTCAGAGCTTCCTGTGATTTTACAGTACAAAAAAAAAGCTTAAATTGGAGGCCAACGTCCAAATTAAAGAAGTATGGCCATTTTCAAGGTGGACGGGGTGGGGGGCCCCTCATAACCCATACTGGGAAAACTCAGTCCACACTGGAGATTTTTCTGTCCTGGAAGGGACATGTGTCTTCCACATAGAATTACTGTAACTATTTATGTATTACTTTCAATAACAAGTGGGACAATATACAATGAAAGTATAGCAGCATACAGTATAAATGTAGGCTGTTGATCTCATAGGAATGAGAAAATTGTGAAACGTTACATGTCATTATTCTGAAATCATATGAATAGTATGGAGAACAACAAATCAAGTTCATCTTTGGAAATAAGTTTTATTTAGAAAAAGGTAATGCACAACAGTGAAGTCGTATGTATGTCACTGTCAGTGAAGGTTTGGTGGTTTGACAATCAAATCATTTTACCAGTGAGTACAAAACAAAATGCTGCAGACAACACAAACAGGATTTTAACATATTATTGTTATTGAACCACTTCTGTACACACATACTATATAGCTATGATATGGCCTTTTTCATGCTTAGGAATTTCTTTTTGTAAGCATAGAACGTGCGTACAGGGATTTGTCCTTCCAAACTGACTTTCTGATAAACAGAATAGCTTTCCAGTATGGAATGTGGGGCTTTATGAAATGCCACCTCCACAAACGACAACTCGCGTGCCGTCCACGTCCTCTTTAAACCTGCAGGAACGACCATTGGAGCAGTGCAGGCCACCGAGTTTTGCACCTCCTCCTCAGGCTCCTCCGGGTGTTCCTCTTCTTCCTCCTCATCTGAGGGCACATTAGCGGTCTGCCTACGGGGTTGAAGAAGAGCCTTCTTTTGTGGAATTGCGATTATTTTGAAAGGGATGTCAGGGTGCACTTTATACAATTTAAACACGTTGAAATTGTGCACAAGGTGTGAATCCTGAATCTGCATTGATCTGAGTCTTGCCTGGTTAATGGGTAATTCCAGTTCCAACCTTGAGAGTTTTCTGTAATCTACATAAATGCCCTGTTGGATGAATGCTACACAACTGAGGAAAGTGCACACTTTTGTCAGCTCCTCTCTGGGCCGTTTTTCAGCTCCTACGATCCTCCGCAAGACAGGTAGCATCCAAGGCATTCCATGTTCCTGAAAAGGAACAAGGTTTCTGTCATACGTCAGGTTTGAGTTTTTAAGCGTAGCCAAGACGTCATTTGAAAGGATATCGGCCAGCGCCTCTAACGGCGGCGCCTGGTCCGGCACGGCGATGTTCCAGAAGTGTTTCCGATTCCACCTGTTTTTGCAATGTTTTTGCCTCTCTTGTTGGTCTTTGTCCATCGACTGCCATGCTGGGAAATATTTAATCTCCGATGCTCGCAAGCCCGCTTGTAGCACTTCTTTCAGGGGAAGACCTTTTCCCGCCATCATAGAAGCTGCCTTTTGGAATGTGTCTGGATAAACAAAGTGCCGGCTCTCTGCCAGCATCAAAGTGAGATGTTCGACACTAATTATGCCGATGCATTTTCCAGTGGGAGGCGAACTTTGGGACAACACGGGCAAGTCAACCGTGTTGCTCCTATATAGGTCGCGCACAATGATTTGAATGAGTTTCTTGCCTAGCATACTGTAAGAGGCGTCCAGTGAGTCGGCAAAGCCAAATAGTCGGGTTAGGGTTAGGGTTAGGGTAGGGTTAGGGTTAGGGTTAGTATACAAAGTCATTGTCCCCCGAAGGGTACAACAAAATGCACGGGCCCTCTCCCTGACTCTGGACCAAGCGGGTGTTCTGGGCACTGGCAACCACCATGATGGCCGCCATCTTGTGGTAGGGTTAGGGTTAGGGTTAGGGTTAGGTATAGCGAAGAAACTCAAGATGGCCCTCTGGGAATGGCCCTCATTTGCATATGAGCATTTCACGTTTCAGCCAGTAGAGGGAGGCAGGTGGAGAGACAGAACAGGCTATATTTAAAGTCATTTTTAAGTGATGTGTTCAGTTCAAATCATATATCGTGTAACTACACTCATGAAAGCTCAGTAACAATATTTGACAGCATTTCCCAGCCCCATCCGCCAGGGGGCGTTCCAATTTAAAAAGGGTTAGGGTTAGGGTTAAGGTTAGGGTTTTGGGGTTTAGGGTTAACGGTAGCTGTAGGTATAGCGAAGAAACTCAAGATGGCCCTCTGGGAATGGCCCTCATTTGCATATGAGCATTTCACGTTTCAGCCAGTAGAGGGAGGCAGGTGGAGAGACAGAACAGGCTATATTTAAAGTCATTTTTAAGTGATGTGTTCAGTTCAAATCATATATCGTGTAACTACACTCATGAAAGCTCAGTAACAATATTTGACAGCATTTCCCAGCCCCATCCGCCAGGGGGCGTTCCAATTTAAAAAGGGTTAGGGTTAGGGTTAGGGTTTTGGGGTTGGGGTTGGGGTTAACTGTAGCTGTAGGTATAGCGAAGAAACTCAAGATGGCCCTCTGGGAATGGCCCTCATTTGCATATGAGCATTTCACGTTTCAGCCAGTAGAGGGAGGCAGGTGGAGAGACAGAACAGGCTATATTTAAAGTCATTTTTAAGTCATGAACTATTATATTTTATTTACAATAAATCATATATCGTGTAACTACACTCATGAAAGCTCAGTAACAATATTTGACAGCATTTCCCAGCCCCATCCGCCAGGGGGCGTTCGAATTTAAAAAGGGTTAGGGTTAGGGTTTTGGGGTTGGGGGTTAAACTGTAGCTGTAGGTATAGCGAAGAAACTCAAGATGGCCCTCTGGGAATGGCCCTCATTTGCATATGAGCATTTCACGTTTCAGCCAGTAGAGGGAGGCAGGTGGAGAGACAGAACAGGCTATATTTAAAGTCATTTTTAAGTGATGTGTTCAGTTCAAATCATATATCGTGTAACTACACTCATGAAAGCTCAGTAACAATATTTGACAGCATTTCCCAGCCCCATCCGCCAGGGGGCGTTCGAATTTAAAAAGGGTTAGGGTTAGGGTTTTGGGGTTGGGGTTGGGGTTAACTGTAGCTGTAGGTATAGCGAAGAAACTCAAGATGGCCCTCTGGGAATGGCCCTCATTTGCATATGAGCATTTCACGTTTCAGCCAGTAGAGGGAGGCAGGTGGAGAGACAGAACAGGCTATATTTAAAGTCATTTTTAAGTCATGAACTATTATATTTTATTTACAATAAATCATATATCGTGTAACTACACTCATGAAAGCTCAGTAACAATATTTGACAGCATTTCCCAGCCCCATCCGCCAGGGGGCGTTCGAATTTAAAAAGGGTTAGGGTTAGGGTTTTGGGGTTTAGGGTTAACGGTAGCTGTAGGTATAGCGAAGAAACTCAAGATGGCCCTCTGGGAATGGCCCTCATTTGCATATGAGCATTTCACGTTTCAGCCAGTAGAGGGAGGCAGGTGGAGAGACAGAACAGGCTATATTTAAAGTCATTTTTAAGTCATGAACTATTATATTTTATTTACAATAAATCATATATCGTGTAACTACACTCATGAAAGCTCAGTAACAATATTTGACAGCATTTCCCAGCCCCATCCGCCAGGGGGCGTTCGAATTTAAAAAGGGTTAGGGTTAGGGTTTTGGGGTTTAGGGTTAACGGTAGCTGTAGGTATAGCGAAGAAACTCAAGATGGCCCTC